GACCAATGGTTTTTTTTTTTTGTTAGGGGGGGGGGGGGGGAGGATTATATTTTAAACGAATGACTTAACTTTAATGCAAATAAGTTAGGATTTAACTAGCCAACGAAACAAGGAGGCATAAATTCAAAATGGTAGTAAGAAAGCCTTATAAAGCCAATGATGCAGGTGGTACAGAGCCTAATTGCTTCCCCATCAAAATTCATGGTACCAACACACAGTCTTAACCATCAGTTATAGCACCGCATACCTGATAAGGTGGCTGAGATGATTGTTGACTTGGAAGTGGTGTCTGCCCCTGTGGAAACGTGGATCCAACACTAGCAGGAGGTTTTGAACCTGGCTGAAAATTCCATCAATGACACAATATTCAACTTACATGAAACATTGAATTGGATTATGAATAGTAAACTGGAATATTCAACTTACATGAAACATGGATTGTGGAAGATTGTGAGAAGCACCAGCATGTTGAAAACCTAAGTTTGCACCCATTTGTGGGGGATATTGGGGATGGAAGGTTGGCACTGCAGGTGGTCTGTGCTGAGGCAGTGGTGGTTGCAGAGGCATATGTAGAAATCCAGGTGTCTGCAATGGTTGCTGTGACTGGCTTGAAGCAGTTGGAATTTGAGTTGGATGAAGAGGCTGTGACGGTGAATGAAGAGAAGGTGGAGGTATGTTTGGGAGTTGTGATGATTGCGGAAGAGACACTGGAGCCACTTGTGGAGTCAAATGTCCTTTAGGCTGTTGTGGCATTGGCAAAGAATGTGCAGCCATAGGCTGAGATTGATGACTCATAGCAGGAACAGCAGATGAAACTTGCACCGAAGGTTGATTCTGGTGTTTCCTCGAAGGAATTTGGGTCTGAGACACACCTGCTTGATCCTGTGCACCACCGAGCCCAGGCAATAACGGAGCAGGCTGAATATTTGGTTGTTGTGTTGGTTGTACTGACTGCTGATTGTTCTGCGAAACTATTGGCTGAACTTTTGGAACCTAGAAGCAAACAATTATTAACATCTAAATTTCTACCAATGAATGACCGTGAAAATGACATCAAAATAAAGTAAAAAAAGCATACCACTTGAGGTGGTTGAACCATTCCAAGCATAATTTGTGCCTGATTAAACAAAACAAAATGAACTAAAATTTCAAAGAGGAGGTAACATGGCTGAATACCATCAGATAGATTCTACAGTTACTGAACAATAAAACCAAATTAAAACAAACACTCTTGCATTCATTGAATAATTCTGGACTACACCAAAAATGAACAAGATTAATCTCATTTCTCATACATTTTGTGCTGAGACAAACTATAGCATACACAAGCCAGACTACATACAAATACAAAGTCTGATTGTTCCAAATATAATTCAAAGGAACTCCAAGATTTAACACACTCATAGTCATACACATAGGTGAAACATCAACCCCCCACCCCCCACCCCCCCAAAAAAA